CCCCCCCCCCCTTCCGCGTTTCCCGCCAAAAAGCCTCGGGGGTTCGAATTCTGGCCTCTTCTAATACGCTGAATCAATGTCTCCATGACAACTGTTGCCCCGGACAACCAGGGATGCTCGGGGTGCTGCAGCTGAATGCCATGCGCAATGCGGCAGCGCGCAGCAGGGACCCGCGTCAGACAAGACGTTTTGAAAGCTTTCGGACTGAAAGTAGTGAAATGGGTTGTACAGAACCCCAGCAGCAGGGCGGTAGAACCGAGCAGGATGCAGCATCTTTAAAATGCAGCCACAGCAGCAACATGCAGGCTGACAAGCTGCCAGTTCTACACTTCAGCCGCTAGAGGGCGGCATCGCACCCTCAGTGAAAACCCGAATCTGAGGAACGAGGAAGTAAATATTAAAATGTGAAACATTTTTTTGAGCAGAAATCAAGGAGACGCAGCTCGAGGCGGTCTGCTCGGTCCCTCAGCGCGGAGACAGACGTCGCGTTCAGGCCTCCAGGACTCCCTCCGAACTTTGTGTTTGTCCAGGAGGTTTTACTGATAAAGTTTGAGTTTGAAGCGTCTCCCACGGCTGTGATGATGGCGGCGGATCAGACTGTGGCCGGAGTCCCCCCTTCACTGTCTGCCAGAGTGGTCGGGTACGTTGACAAGCTCCGTCACGGCGGGAGAGGCTGCAGGAGCCGGTCCCGGTGTGTCTGACCGGCTGCTCCACGGCTGGGCTGTCGTGCTCAGGCTAGCAGTAGCATTAGCTAGTTGCTAACTGACATTCCTCCAAGTCGGTGATGTCTGTATTTACATGCACACGTATGAGGCTGATGCGGTCACATGAGGACACACACATGACGGTGTCTCATGCATACGAGTCTAATACTTGCAGTCAAACTGTGTGAACAGCTCAGGATGACCTTACATGATGCTAATTAGCTGGTTAGCTCCTGCTGTGTAATGGACAGTAACAGCATCTTCTCTCTGCAGGTCGTTCGCTTATTTGACCATCAGAGACAGGCTGCCGACCATCCTGACTAAAGTTATAGACACGATACATCGCAACAAAAACAAGTTCTTTGAAGAATATGGAGAGGTAAGGCTTGTTCCTGTGGAGCTTTACTCAGATGAGGTGTTTCCTGACTCATGAGGCTCTTTTGAAAACCTGAATCCGGTTTTGCCTGTTTCCTCTGTTGCCCCACAGGAGGGCATCCAGGCAGAGAAGCAAACGATATCTCTGCTGTCTAAGCTGAGGAATGAGCTGCAGACGGATAAGCCGGTGCTGGTTCTGACAGACGGCCTGCCGGACACAGAGTTCTGGAACCAGTACCTGCACAGACAGCAGAGACTGCAGGGAGACCAGGAGTCCGTCAGCTGGTTCAAGTCTCCCTGGCTTTATGTGGAGTGCTACATGTACCGCAGGATCCAGGAGGCCCTCCTGCTCAAGTGAGAAGCATTGAGATCCTTTAATACACATTACAGTATCTTCAGCATGATAAAAACAAGCGTCGGTTTATCGCCCAGCGTTAGGAGAAGTAAATACAGGATGTGTGTTCTTGTTGTTTATCTGATTTCCTCTCTTGTTTCAGTCCACCCATCAGTGACTTCGATGTCTTTAACGAGGGAAAGACTCAGAGCTTCTTTGAGTCTCAGCAGGCTGTGATGGCCTTATGCACATACCTGGAGGGTGTCAACAAGAACATGGAGGAGCTCTCTAAAAATCAGCTGTTTGAGCATTTCAGCAGACTCCTACAGGTCAGTATCTCCTGTACGCTGGTAGGACTTTACAGTAGAAAGTTCCTCTGGTGACGGAACCGTTCTGTGTTGCTCGTCCTGCTCAGGGTGGTCGTGGATGCTCTTTACTTTCAGGACAACATCCTCTTCTTTTGGGGCATTGGGGTGAAATAACTTTTTTAAAGTCACACTTCAGTGCAAACTTCACATCGTTAAGGATTTATATTTGTGGTGGGACATTAGCACATGGATACTATCAGCAGCACAACTGTTCAGACAAGATGGACGGCAGGAATTTATAGAACCACCGACACAACAGTTTGCTCACTGTGTCGGATGTGCTCCGTATCGTACATCCTGATCTAAAGTGGGAACCAGATTTAATGTGAACCCACTGAGCTCAGGCCTTCATCATGTCGTCGTGATGCAGATGTCATGTCGGTTAGAAATATGAAGTGCACAGTGCCCAGCTCAAGCATTTATAGAGTCTGCTACATATAACCTCCATTACCCCTTAAATACAACAGATTAGTCCTTATAACATCCAAAAATCTGTAAATGTTTGATATTATGACATTCACATACATGTTGTGACTCATTGTAGGTTTCTCTATGGGGCAACAAGTGTGATCTGTCTATCTCTGCTGGACAAGAAAACTCCCAGAAGACCAGTCCATTAGATTCCCTCAGCGCCTTGCAGCCCTTCATCTTGGTGGACGACTCTAACGTGGTGTGGTCGACGCTTACTGCTGCCCAGAGGTCGGGCCAGCCAGGAGGCACCGCTGCAGACAGAGTGGACATTGTGCTGGACAATGCTGGTTTTGAGTTAGTCACTGACTTGATCTTTGCAGATTTCCTGGTTTCCTCTGGCCTCGCACGTCAGATCCATTTTCACGGCAAACTCTTCCCGTGGTTCGTCTCTGATGTCACAGCGAATGATTTTCAGTGGACCATTCGGCAGACCATGGCGGCCAATCACAAGTGGATGTCCAAGAGTGGCGTCCAGTGGCAGACCTACGTGAAGCAGGGCGTGTGGCGCTACCACGACCATCCCTTCTGGACACAGCCCCATGAGTTCTGCGACATGGCGGCCGATGCTCCCGACCTGTATGCGGCGCTGCAGGGGGCAGACCTGGTGCTGTTCAAAGGGGATCTCAACTACAGGAAGCTGACGGGGGACAGGGACTGGGACCACACAGCGGCCTTTAAGACTGCGCTGCGAGGCTTCGGGCCGGCACCACTGTGTAGCCTGAGGACTCTCAAGGCCAACGTCCAGGTCGGTCTGCAGCCGGGCCAAGGGGAGAAGCTCACCTCCCAAGATCCAAACTGGATGACCAGCGGCCAGTACGCTGTCATTCAGTCGTACAACCCAAAGTCAGAATAGTAAGACTGAGCTCAGGATCGCACGGGGAGGACTTGGATTTAGAAGAACGTTCAGCGAGGAGTTACCTTAAAGCCATAAGACAATTTACTTCTAAGTCTGTTCACGGTGTCTTTGCTCCTTGTCATCTGTCAGCACTCGGTCAGGTGTGATACAGAAATGTTTAACAATTGTTTCCACTACAGGTTTATTCCATCTCATGTTTGAAATGTTAGCACTTTGAGAGGAGATGCTTCACCGTGATTGAAACTCCACAACCACTGTTTATGTTCAGATTTATCCTCTGGAGTAACATATCAAGTCTGGCTTCCTGTCGCAGACGCCCAAAACGCTGAGCAGCCACAGTTTAGTCCTGATGTTTACAGAGTGATGTAGATGCCGTTAACACGCGCTGAGGTAAACGTGAATAACAGTCGAGCTTAATAAATGCTAGAGCAGTAAAACATTTGCATGCAGGTGAGCGGAGTGATGATAAATCTAGTTTATAGGTATTTTTGTTTCTATTCAGCTCAGGTTGTTTTACTGTTGCACTCATTGATATGCATGCATCACATCGAGCAGGCAGCCACTGAATCAATAAAGCCGATCATGACATCGTCTGATGACTGTGTTCCTCAGTTTGCTGGATGATCCATGTGTGTGTAGATAAACGTGGGTGTCTGTGTGCACACTGTCATGTCGTTTAAAACCTCGCTGTCACGTCCAACACTTCAGAGGTGATGTTAACTGGACTCTGTGCTGCTGGAGGAATTAATTGTTTTTATTTAATAAATGACTCTAACTTGTTCTTTCCCTGCTGTTGTACTTTATATTAAAAAAAATGAATTTAAAATGATCTAAACCTGAGCAGATGAATGTATGCAGTAAAGACGTCCTACAGTCAGATGGTTTACCAGGAATAGAATAAAACTTTATTGATCCCTTCAATAAAGGAGGGTGACATTTGCTCTTTATTCTGCAACAGTTGCTGCTACCTGTTGACCTGTGGTACGCTCGGGTCGGGTCACACTCAGGAAAACATACAACGGAACAGCTGGAAATGCAGCAACATGTGCATTACCGTTCTCTCAGCTGGGAAAACTGAATGGCATCATTTAGGCTCTGCCAAGCTTTGTGAGTGTGGTCTTATGAAAATGAATTCAATTACTGCAAGAGGCATCCTATCTCGAGCCATTTAGGTGATTTAGCGGTTTCATTTCTCGCCCTTGGTGTAACCGTGTCTTCGTTGTATTCCAGGGGAAATGCAAAAAAAGTATAAATCATCAGGGCTACTTGTTTTCCACTTGACCTGACATGTCCTGAAAATTGGGCTGTTTACTCCAGAAAGCTGCTGCACAGAGAAGGAAATGTGGGCTCTGGGCCAGATTCTTGTTTTTCTGACTTTGTGGTGTCATTAACAGTTGCACGGAGTCCTGTTGTGAATTTCTCACATTAATGACGATCCGTCTCACCGGAGCAGCTAAAAGACTCCGAGTTAAATGGACCAAATAATTTTTTATCACTGGATCTGAAAATTGTTCATCTGGAAATGAGTTTCTAGCTATCTGATAATTTCCTATTTCTACATTGACGGGCTTTCGTTTCACAGTGGCTGTGACTGTTGGAGAGTAATCCCTGTATTTAGAGTTTAGTGTTTCAGCCCACAAGGTTGTGTTTTTTCCCTTGACGCCTGGTCCCACAACAGCCAAGGACGAAAAAGATCCCTGAAAATCACAAACCTGAAACATGGATTTCCTCCAATCTTTATTTGCATAAATGCTCTGTTCTTCTGCTCTGATTTGTTGGCGTATGTGGTGTTCTATTTGATCTACCTGCTGAAGTAATGGCTAACTAGCCGGTATCACAGCTCATCCTTCTTGTCATGAAATATTATCAGGAAACTATTAAAAAAAAACACAGAGAAAAACAATTCAGTTTATTTAATTGTAATGTTTGTAAAAAGGGAAAACGTCGGTTATCCAGCATCTAAAATATTAAAAGAACATCAGTAGCCTGCTTTGGGATTGATTGTGTAATTACTGGCTGTCAGAATGAGATGTGACCTTCTGTTTTGTTTGCTGTGTTATGGTGACCTGGCACTTAAACGCACCATGCTTATCGATTTGGCTGCATCTTTAATTTGTTTATCCTTTTTTAAAACCTTTCCACTCTTCCCATTGTGTCCAATGAGCCCAGGTGGACGCCTGTGAGGCAGGCAGAGGGTCGGAGAGAGGACTCGGTGTGAGTTACGCAGCAGATCTGAGGATGATTCATGTGTGAGGGGTGAGTAGAGTGTGTCACCGTACAGTCTGGCTTTCTTTTAGCTCCTGTTGTTTAAACGTGTGGTAGCTCATTTCCACACTGGTTTGATTAAATGCAGCGTCCCAGGTGTGTTCAGTAATCCAGCTACCAGGGTGCTGGTCGTACTGCTGCTGTGCAGCGTGTCGGCTGAATGAGTGATGCACATACAGAGAGCGTCGCTCCGCTAGTTCACAGCTGCCTTTAATTTACAATCCAGCCATAACTAAGAAAGGCTTCTGTAAATAAGACAGAGGTGAAGTGGGAACAGGGATGAGAGAAGACGGGGAAGTTGTTTTGGAATCACTATTTCTGTCCATCTGCCTGTTCCTCTCTCCCAGCAGCCCTCCTCCCTCTGACTCCAGTAGAGATGTATGAGAGGAAAGGAGTGAAACACTATGCTGACATAAAAACGGGAGTTTGGGAGGAGTCTTTCCAGATGTCTTTTTTTTGTTGTTCTTTTGCAGCCTGCTGGGCAGAAGCTCAAGGCAGACAGGGCAGAAGGACTTGAAGACTCGTGGTCCCTCCAAGTTGTCTGACAGGTTTCAGTGAGAGGAGAGACCCAGGGAGGGAGTGAGGACAGCAGGGGAGAGGGAGAGCAGCACTCCACTCCCCCTCCCAGCAATGGGAGAGGAAGTCTAAATCATGTTGCTTATCACTGCTGCTGTGCTGTGATGTTGCTCAGGCAGAGCCCGGTGCAGAGCCCGGTGCAGAGCAGGCAGCCGTGTGGACCAGTGCTCAGACCCAGGATTAGCTCAGCCTCCCCAGAGCTGGAGACCCTCTCCCCTCCACGTCTCTCGCCTTCGCCACGTGCCCCCCTCGGTGACATGTACCCCGAAGAGAGCCGGGGGTCTGGAGGGGTAGCCACTGTGGACTTCCTGGAAGGGACGTACGACTATGCCGCCCCCACCCCTGCCCCGACTCCTCTTTACAGCCACTCCAGCACTGGCTACTACGCCGCTCCTCTGGACGCCCATGGACCACCCTCAGATGGCAGTCTTCAGTCCTTGGGCAGCGGGCCGACCAGTCCTCTTGTGTTTGTGCCCTCCAGCCCCCGCCTCAGCCCCTTCATGCACCCACCCAGCCACCACTATCTGGAGACCACCTCGACGCCCGTCTACAGGTGAGGAGACGCAGCTTGTGTTGGTGTGGCTCAGCAGAGTGGAGGGAAGTGTCTGCTGTGTGCTCCACGGTCAACAGGTTGGATTTCTGTGGCATTAAATGAAGTTAGTGTATTTTTAGCCCGTGCTGATGCGTTTAGCAGTGATTCCCGTGTAGCGCTGGCACATCAGGGATGGATTCAGATCGTCTGATCAGCTTTGTTTGTGCCAAAGTTTGGTGATTGTGTCACTGATAAGAGGAGTGCAGTCAGCTCCGGTTCCCAGTAGGGCTCCTTTCATTTGCTCTGTGATGTTCTCAGTACAGATCCCTGGTGTTTGTTCCATTAAGGAAGTAAATGAGTTCAACTTGTCTATAAATCATTTTAATGTATGTACTGCTTGTTTTTTGCTTTACTGCCCAAGTGTTTTCTAGAAAGGGCAGAATATTGCTGTACAGCTCGATGTCCTCTTTGTAACTCAGGAATCATTTAGTTCAAAATGCCATTATAATCAAAACATAATTATATAACCGCATTGTTTAAAAAAAATCTCCTGCTTTATACAAAACATCACCGCTATCTGTATAGAAAGGATCAAGCTTTGTCCTGGTTTCTAATTCCAGAGATTAAGGACTTTGTCAGGGACCTTGAGAAAGGAACAATACGTAAGAACAAGAGGAGGACACAGCAGACTGTTTCCTCACTCAGGTGGAAGCAGAGCTGAAGTCACTCCAAGTCATTTCCAGGTTTATTTGACCTGTAATCACGGAGGTGGTTCCAACATTTAGGAGGTGTTTGTGTTCTTGTTTGTCTCGATGTGATTCCTGTTGCTACTGAAACACTGTTCATGTTTGTAGTATTTGGTCGGCATCATAATTTATCATTATCTTTATGAAAACACCGAATTAGTGGATTAACATGCAGGCCTGCTGCAGATCCAGCCACCAGCCGGCCTCCAGAGACGAGCCGTGTGTCACCTGTGACGAGGCGTACGGGGCGGGCGAGCTGGGAGCCGGAGCGGCGGCCGGCGGCTTCGAGATGACCAAAGAGACACGTTTCTGTGCCGTGTGCAGCGACTACGCCTCCGGGTACCACTATGGGGTGTGGTCCTGTGAGGGCTGCAAGGCCTTCTTCAAGAGGAGCATCCAGGGTGGGTCTGCTCCACAGACTGGTGACCAGCGCATCTATCATCACACGTTCTATCTGTTTGTTACGTGCTTTGTCTTATTTAGTCTCACTTTACAGATTAAGTACAGTTATTTAGGAAACTGAGACGTTGTCAGGCTGGAAAAAAAAAAAAAAAAACATACAAAAGAACACAACACATGACAGGAAAGGACTTCATAGCGCACTGTCTGTTCTCCACAAGAATGCATTTTGCTATCAGAAAGAGAAATTCAGTTGGTTTGATCTGAGACGTGTGGGGATCTACACAGAGTGGATGGTAAAGATGACCTGCTGCGTCACAGAAGTGAATTAACAGCAACCTTGACAGAGAAAAAAGAAAACTAGAGATTAACGGAGAGAACGAGAACAGACCCGTGTCATAAAGTGCAGCGCTGTGGAGCTCAGATGTGTTGAATCCAGGAGCAGACGCTGGACTCCAGCACATTAGTTTTACTGTTATTATTTCCACTTCAGAGCCGCCGGCCGTTACTGGAGCTGTGCGCCTTTGCCTCCATGTGCTCGCCCAAACTTGGCTGCTTGGTGGCTTCGTCGTGTTCGTGATGCGATGCTGCGGCATATCGATGCAAAATCTTACCATGAAAGGCTGGTCATAAAGAAACCAATCGTCTCCATGGCAATGACAAATCCAAGATGTTTTACTTTTTTTCCATCTCAGATTCATTCTGAACAGGAATAGAGTGTTCCTGGCTACTAAATAATCTAAATCTGAGCTGAACACTGGAGTGGGAGGCTGAGCGTAATAGATTTTCTTCCATTTCAGGTCACAATGACTACATGTGCCCAGCGACCAATCAGTGTACTATTGACAGGAATCGGAGGAAGAGCTGCCAGGCCTGCCGTCTGAGGAAGTGCTACGAAGTGGGCATGATGAAGGGAGGTGAGGAGACATACCGGCAGAAGGAAGACGGTCCATTTCTGTTTCTGTCTTTTCATTTTGTTTGTGCAGTTTTTGTTTTTTCGGTGATTTAATTGTTGTTCCCTTTTGACGTTGTTCTAACAAGTCTTCTAGGACGAGCTTTTCTTTCATGCAGCTTTATCTCGACTGTGTGTTGTTTTCATGACAGCAGCCTCTGATTAAGCTAACCGTCTTGATCTGTCCTGGTTTGTTGCAGCTAACACTGGCACAAATGTGAGCATTGCTGCTGGATGCAGATAAGCTTGAGACTAACTTTAACACGACCTTGAGCAGATTTCCTCTTAAGGAGTACAACTGCTGATTAGCCCACACCCACATTCTTGTTTTCATACTTCTTGAGTCTCTCTCCCATCCATACGTCCATGCTGGACTGTTTTAAGAACACAGTATGACATTCGGGCTGAGCCATGATACAGAGAACACGTGATGACTGATGGACACGTGGACGTTCAGGTTTTACGTCTTTGTTTCTGTATCTGCGTATGACTTTGTGTTAAGCCCCTGCTGTGTCCCGAAGGTGTGCGGAAGGACCGCGGTCGTGTGTTGCGGCGAGACAAACGGCGGACGGGCATTGCTAAAGACCTGGGGCACAAAACAGCGCCCCCTCAGGATGGGAGGAAACGTAGCAGTGCTGGTGGCGGCGGCAGGTCTTCAGTGACCAGCATGGCCCCTGATCAGGTGTGAATACAGACAACAGCTGTTCACCTTGTTGGTTACAAGGACATGTTGACTTCAAAGTGTCGCAGCAGAAAGGTCCTCTTTGGATCATAAACGCCACGTCACAGTTTTTCTACATCTAAATATTTAAGTCGCTGTTATCTTACACCTTACAGAGACATGTTCTGACTGTGTTCATGTTCTGTGTCCTCAGGTGCTCCTCCTGCTTCAGGGTGCTGAGCCCCCCATCCTGTGCTCCCGCCAGAAGCTGAGCCGGCCCTACACCGAGGTCACCATGATGACGCTGCTCACCAGCATGGCCGACAAGGAGCTGGTCCACATGATCGCCTGGGCCAAGAAGCTTCCAGGTTGGAACAGCTTTATGAAGAAGCACAAGAGACACGCCATAAATACAAACTCAGAATAATGTCCGTCAGCAGAAACATCACTCAGATTATGGTGCAGTCCAGTGTTCTGCCCAGTGCCTCGCCGTTTGAACTCTCTGAGCCCAAGCAGGTTCTCCGTCCACATTTCTGCTCACTCTGAGCTCAGTTTCACTGCACCTCTACTGACACAGCACTAAAACACCTCCTGTACAGTATGACACCGTTATAATGCCATAAATCAGAAAGGGAAGAAGGAAACGGATTCATTTAATGCAAAAACCATGTGCAGCATTTCCCCGGTGCCCACTGCTGTTACCAATGCTTAGAAACAGTGGCTTCACACACGGTCGGTCTTTTACTCCTCACTTTGTTCTGCTGTCTCCTGAGTGAGCACAGCCTGCAGTTCAGCAGAATACGTCTGTAGTTTTTATCTTGGGATTGCTGATTGCAGCTAATTGCTTCTCAGTTGCACTGAGGCACATCATGTTTATTTTTATTTTCATTTTTTTTGCAGAACCTGGTTAGAGCCGGTGTTGATCGGCCGGTAGCACCAGACACACAGTGGCTGTGATGCAGGGGAGCATTAATACAGTGCTGGTGTGCAGCGTTCATCGTTGTTCATAAAGAACCAGTTATTATTTACAGGCCGTGTTTTTACAGTTATGTCAGAAATTAAGATGTCAGAAGCAATGTCCAGAAGTTCTCCTCAAACTGAGTGACAGTTGCAGACAGAGCGACAGTTACCACGTATGAAACGATCGAGGACTAGAAGCCTCCTGGTGCAAACTTTATTCTCTCAAGGTTCATTGTCATCATTCGATGTTGAAGCCGGAGAGACGAGGGGCCAGTTTGGTAATGATGCAACATCCGATAGTTTAATCATCAATGGTTAAAGTTGATCAGCAAATGTGGCCTCAAGCTGAAGTCTGTTGCTTTGGATGGACGTTTAAAAATAATCTCCAGTAACCAGGCAGGTGAGGTCAGGGTAGAAACACGTCTGGTGCTTTTCTTAACCTCTCAAATGTACGGATGTTATGTGTTACAGAGGTGCAGCTGTCTATTGCTGCCTCTCTGACTTCTTCAGCGGCGGCACAGAGATGGGAGACCGCTATAGTAAAAGCACAGATAGGCAAACACACACACACATGCAGAGCCATTACAGTGATGGTAATTACAGTCATCACCTTTGAGAGGATTGTTTGGTCAATCTGCTGGCACCCCATAGAGCTTAAGTGCAGCACAAGACACATGTGCTTTCTGTCGCACACACAGCCGACGGGGCTCTTTAGGAGAGTAAATCCTGAATCTGAGGTATCGCAGCCTCGTGCGTCACTAAAAGGAACACAGTTTTAATTGCAAGGGGTCCCAAACCGGGTACAGAGGGGGACAATGGGAGCGAATTGGCTGTAATTACATATGAATTGAGACAGCTGAGTGCCAGCGATAAGGCTTCTTATGAGAGCACAGAGACTGCAGATGGTTGCATTTCAGTTCCTGTTCCCTGCCGGTGAACAAGAACATGCGTGGGATGAAGGTGAACGGAACAACAGTGATATTCCATAACATGTCGTAGTTAAAAGCCACCGCGCCGGATTCTCTGAATAGTTTTATTTACTGTTTTCTGCCTCTGGATGCCAAATAATTGCTGTGATCAGACAAAAACACACAACATCATGTCAAGTGGTTTTAGTGAGAATTGTTTGGAACAGATGCGAGAGCTTGTTTGTCAAAGAACAGATACGGCCAGTGGACGACTACCCAGAACCGCAGACGGTGTGGACCACGGCTCACTTTCTCCTCATCGTTGGTCACGTTGTGTGTTTCCAGGTTTTCTGCAGCTGTCCCTTCATGACCAGGTGCAGCTGCTGGAGAGCTCGTGGCTGGAGGTGCTGATGATCGGGCTCATCTGGAGGTCCATCCACTGCCCCGGAAAACTCATCTTCGCACAGGACCTCATACTGGACCGGTACGGAGGAAGGCCTGCCCGACTGCCACACTGACACCAACCGTTGTGTGCTTCTCCAGCTCTCTGGCCCTGCTTCTGCTCTCGGTTTTCTTTCTTTGTCTGTCACACATAGATCTTAAGAGTGATACATCAGCATTGTAGATTTTCCATTTCACACCTTGCCCACCATTGTGCCATCCCAACACATCTGTCACAGAGTGAAAGACTAATTACATGTTCCCCATGGAGAGGAGAGCAGCCTCTCTCTAGCCTGAAATACCCCCCTCATCATTACAGCGCTGAGCTGGGAACCGGGACACAGATTTAATCAAAGCCTCAATGCAAGGAATGATGGAAAACGAAGAATGATGGAGGGAGATATGACAGGGAAGGAGGCTGATGAGAGAGAGCTAAATGATGAACAGAGAGGATGAGAAAATAGAGATGCAGGCATAAGACTCGGGTGTTTTCTACTTTGCAGGCACAGCCTGTTCCCTCCATTTCCCCTCATGTTCAGAGTAAACAAGCTGCCAAACCACAGTATCCAGCTCGCAGAGAAAAAGAGAGCAGTGGAGGCAGCGACAGGGATGCAGACAGACAGAGCTTTTACCCTCTGATGGTCCCATTTGATTCAGAAGTGTATTACTGAGTATTATCTCTAAAGCCCGGTCCCCGTGTGAGCGTCCTCACCAATTGGACATGATGACTAAAATGCTGTGGGTCAGGGCTGACACATTCCCTTGGCTCTGCGCTGTCCAACTTTATCTTGCACTCCAACCAGTGGATATCATCCATCTTTCCATCACTTTTCAACTCTGCCGACAAATGGAGCGTGGCACTGATTCGGCCCATTAGTTGTTTATCTGGACGCTCTTTGGATCGGTCCGGGGCTGCAGATGAAGCCAGAATCTTTTTCCTCAGAAGCTGCACTGCAGACTTCTGGCTGTTTGTTAAACTTACTGTGACTTTGGTGCTGGGTTTTATTCAAATCATTCTTGAGTGACTTCCAACCTTCATTTTTGTTTTTAAGAAGAAAGAAAAAAGTCTCCCCTCTGTGTGTGTTTTTTTCTCCGTTCTGCTCTCCAGGAATGAAGGCGACTGTGTGGAGGGCATGGCTGAGATCTTTGACATGCTGCTGGCCACCGCTTCACGCTTCCGCATGCTCAAGCTCAAGCCCGAGGAGTTCGTCTGTCTCAAAGCTATCATCTTGCTCAACTCTGGTAAGGTGGCATGAATGTGAGCGCGTGCCTGACAGCGCTGACAGTTTAGTCGCCCTCTTGTGAAACATCTTGTGAAACATCTTGTGAAACATCTTGTGAAACAGCTGAGAGCAAACTGAAGCCAGAAACACTGACGATATCCACCACTAATAAAAACATCAAGTTTAGGTTTTCTAACTCCACACACTTTTGTTTGCACCACTTCACAGGTAATTATTGAACAGGTCAAACTCCACCCACAGAGGTGTAGCTCTGAGTGCTGCTCAGACACATCAGACAAACACAGTGTTCTGGAAAGGCCCGCACCGTCAATATGCCTGATAGCTGTTCCCATGACAACAGAGACAGCACACAGGGCTGTGTTTGTCCTGGAGGTTCACATATTCTATACAGGAAAGCGAGAAGACTGAAATACCAGCGACATGACACTTGTGGCTCCGCTGCTGGAGCTGAATGAACTTTTGATGAGTGTGATTTAAACACTGCATCTCAAATGACTGCCTTTATAAACATTGTTTCTGTGTCTTAACATGAATGTGCAGCAGGTTGATGGAGTGTTTTCATGTTAATTTGTTCATGTGGTCTGTAAGACGAGCATCACTCCTCCCTGAAGCCTCTGATGAGGACAAAAGAAGGTTAAAGACGCACCTTTTTAATCAGGCTTTTAATTGAACTTTAATTCTTTTATATTCTTATCATTTATTTATATTTGCATTTTATCTTTATGTATTTACTCTTTTAACTTTTATTTTATCTTACATCGGGCCTTTTATTCTTAAAGTTTTTAGTTTTATTTCCAGTGGTTCCTTAGGGGGGTCCTCCACACTGGGGGCTGGGTCCGGTCTGCTGCTGGGGGTTCTGTCTGCGGGTCCCTTCGACCCGGCTGGTTGGGGGGGCTCCTCACCTCGTTGTGGGGACCCCCCTGTCTGCCGGGTCGGGGGTCCGGGCGCCGGCGCCCCCAGTAGTCATGGTCTGCAACTCCTCCTGGTGTGGACGGCCCCAATGGTAGCGTTTCCCACAATCCCTCAGTGCCATGCCACGCCTCTTTTAGCCTCGTGGTGACTGTGTGCGTCTGAGTGTGCGTCTGAGTGTGCGCGACTTCATTTGTTGTATGTCTATGTGTATGCATGGAGGGTGGGAGGGACGGGTTTATTTTATTTTTTAAATGCTGTAATGTTTTTAAATGCTGTAATGTTTTTAAATGTTGTAATAGTTTTTAAATGTTGTAATAGTTTTTAAATGCTTTGTTGTTTTTAAATGTTGTAAAGCACTTTGCGTTGTTGTTGCACATGAAAAGCGCGATACAAATAAAATTTGATTGATTGATTGACAGAACGGATCAGATGGAAAACATGATTGTCTTTGTCCGTTAGGTGCCTTTTCTTTCTGCACTGGCACGATGGAGCCGCTTCACGACAGCGTGGCCGTTCAGAACATGCTGGACACCATCACCGACGCGCTCATACATCACATCAGCCAGTCGGGATGCTCGGCCCAGCAGCAGGCCAGGCGGCAGGCCCAGCTGCTCCTGCTGCTCTCACACATCCGGCACATGAGGTACCAGTGAGCTCTGGACCGGTTCCTTTCTGTTTAAACACATTAGAAGTCATTTGATGTTGTTCCTCTGAAGGCCGTGTTTTAATCATGACACAGCGATTCTTCAAACAGGAGTGGGTCCAAAAGGTTCGGCTTCTGTCTGGAACCTTTCTTGTCTGTTTTTATATTTTATTTAATCATTTATTGTTATCAGTAAGAAACACAATAATAAGAACTTTATTTAGCACCTATAAGAAAACGCTGGTGGATGTTTTACAGCAGAAACAGACAGCACAAGAAAATAAGACGCAAAACAAAAATGAATGAATTTAATGGTTACAACAAATCCAGCAGTCAGGACTCAGAGGTCTGAGCAGCAACGCTCTGCTTAGTGACAGGAGGAGGTGTTGGATCGGTCAGCAGAGCTCTGTCAGCAGGTCACAGGTACATGCAGGAGCCCGACCATTCAGAACCCACTCAGAACCAGCGGAGGACAGCGAGGATCGGGCTAACATGGCCGCTTGTCTCGGTGTATCTTGGTGCATTTTGGATTAGCTGCAGTCTTTAAATACTTCATATGCTTGACATCAACGTTCCTTCAGTCTCCTGATGGTTTGCAGAGTAACGTCCTGATAAACCACCACAGAACCATTCGTCTGTGTTGAAAAGAAAGCTTTGGTGATGTTTCAGTGGATAGGTTGAAGTGATATTCGTTAGGTGATGTTTTTCTCATTGTCAACAAGTTTCATGCCAAGACCAGGAGTCAGTGTAAATAGAACTGATGACTGCTGCCGGCCTCAGTCCAGTCCGTCCTCTGTAGAACCTCGCTGTTGACCCGAGGCTTTTAAAAACACACCAGTCAGCGTGACGTTCTTCTTCATTACAACACTGTCGTTTACTTTGTGTTGCCATATCGGCAGTGCCTGACTTTGCCAACTCCTAAATCCAGAAATGAGCAAAGAGGTGAAGTGTGAGTGGAGCTGAGGCGACCTAACTGTAAGCCTGGATACCGTTCAGACCGGTGAGGTCTACAAAACGTCAGCCCCGCTACGGCTGTCAGGATGAGCTACAGAGACCCAAACTGTTATTTTATAGCACGCTGTAAACATGTTAACTTCTGCTGTGAAGTTGCGCATTTTAACATGTGGACTGTGGGAGAGCAAGCCTCTAGTGGCCATTAGGGGAACTGCAGTTTTTGGCACTTTGGCATTAGCTTCGTTCTTCAGCCCTGTAGGGGGCGTCTTGCTTCTCACCCATGGGTCCAACTTCTGCTCATATTTAGGGTCCGAGCACCCAAAAGGGTGCGAAGACCCTATTGGAACTGCTCGGATTATTATTATTA